AGTAGATTAACTATGAAATTCATTGATAGATTCTGTCATAAGCTCTTTGAAACAGGCAGTGATGTTAACTCATTATATTACTTATACTGCAGAATCTTTATTCTTTAACAGATATTATAAGTCTTAATATACTCTTTGACATCTGTTCAGAGCTTGTCTTAAATATATTTATATTTTAGAAGCTTCTCAGTCTTCTCTAATCTGAAGTGTTCTGTATAAGAATTATTATAATGAATTCTTAATAACTTCTAGCACACTGTTCTACTATAAGAGATGAAGACTGAATTATTCAGCAGTAGAAGTTCATATTCTTCTAGTTATCAGTAACTTGATTTCTTAGTGACACTGTTCTACTCAGAGTCTGTCTCTTTCAAGTTCAAACTGAATTCTTTCTTCTTCAACTTCTGAATTCAAGCTGCAGTAGAGACATTCTTCTTCTGTAACTTATTAATAAATTTCAAAAGTAGTCAGATTGAAAGATTATAGACTGTTTCATTCTTTATTAATTTAATGATTGTAAGATATGATATGAGAAGCTCATAATCTTCAGTATCAGTTCTCTGCAGAGACTCAGGTTTTCTTTTATCTTCTATACTAAGTTATGCAGCTGTCTTATCAGTACTGTTTTCAAGCTTCAGAGAACTTTAATTCCCTGCAGTCAGCTTCTTCTGTAGTGATGACAGAGATTCTTTTATAGAATTCTTCTTCATATCAATGATATTATAATCAGATTATCTAGACAGTGTATCAGTGAGATTAAGCTAATCTGAATAATATCAGATATAGAAATTATACTCTGAAAGCAGCTTCACTCACCTGGCTTGACATTCTGTCAAGCTCTTTGTTATCAAGAAGTAACATAGATTAACATAATCAGTGAGAACTTACACTGAGTACTTACTACTCTGAAGATAATATTATCAGATCTTAAAGAATTTGATAATTGTTAACATCTTCTGATTATAGATATTATATCTTCTCTGTATAAGTAATAACTTCTTAAAGAAGAAGATCACTGATCTTTATTCATAGTATCTTATAAACTCTGTGAAAAAGTCTTCTTTTACAGATAATTCATTATCTGTATTCTTAGAAGTGATTATTCTCTGATTCTTTCAATATTGAAAGATCTTCAGTGTCAACTGTGAAAAGATTTCACAGATCTCATTCTCAGATACATCAGTCTCACACTGACTGAGTAAGTCAGAGTTAAAGTGATTCAGTATTATAACATCTGTAAAAGCTTGTTTTAATTTCATAAACATCTGCACAGTATCTTGAGTGAGAATAAACAGTTCTGTTTTTCTGTCTTTCACACTTCTCTTTAACAGATCTGTAAGAGAGACAGTAATTCATGAATATGTATAGATAAATCATCTGTAGAAATTTACAAATTCTAGAAATATCTGCATCTCACAGTACATCTGCAGTGTCAGTCAGTTCTCAATGACAGAGACTCAGCTTCTATTCATTGAAATGCTGTTTATCTTAATTATATAATCGAAGAAATCAATCTTCTGCATGTAGAATGAGTATTTTTCAGTGTTTGTATAGAGTTAATACTGTCTCAAGTGACTTAACACTTCTTAAATATAAGTATCATATTCTTTCTCTGATTTTAAGAAGATTAGAATGTTATTCAGATATACTATACAGAAGACATTGACAAGGCTCTGCAGCATCTTATTTATATAGATCTGAAAGATGACTGAAGTATTACAAAGATTAAAAGATAAAACAAGATATTCAAAATTATCATACTTGATATAAAAAGCTGTTTTTTAAATATTATCTTTATTAACTCTGATTCTATAATAGATATTCTGTATATTAATCTTTGAGAACATCTTTGCTTCAGATAATCAATCAATCATCTTATTAATTAACAGTAATAAATAGTAATTCTTAACTGTTATCTTATTGAGGCCTCTGTAGTCTACATATAGATGTAGCCTATTATTCTTCTTAAGTACAAAGAGTATAGATGTCTTGCTGAACTCTTTAATAAGTGTATTCAGTTCTTTGATTATGCTTTCTCAAGATATTTGCATAAAATATTCAATTTCTTTACAGATAAGTTGTAAAGAGATCTGTACAGTATTATTATATCATCTTCAAGATAAATCTTATATCACATCTTAATATCAGAAAACTTCACTACTTCTCTTTCTGAAAAGACATTCTTATAATCTGTAAAGAAACATTATATACATCTGTTTTCAATGACAGATACTGCTACTAATCTTACAGTAAGAGTGATAACTTCTTTATCTGTTTTCAAGTCTCAATCATCTACTATACAGTATATCAACTCTATCTTTTTCTCAAGATTCTTCTGATGAAACTCTTCAGATTTCTCTATCACTGTCTCTTCATTAGTAAGATAATATCATCATATCTGAGTGACTGAGTTAATGAGAGAATTGTTTTCTCTTAATTATAGAAGATCTAGAATGACATTCTCATCTATAATATTAACTATATAAAGAAGCAGACTGCTCTTCTTAAAGATTTCTTCTGAGTCTGTGATCACACACTTCACTTGAATTATACTAAAACAGTGATATTTCATTTCATCAGTAAATTTCATATGATCTGATAAATCTATCTTCTTTCAACTCTTTATTAAAGAAAAGAAATAGAATATGAAGTTAATATTCACTCTGAAGTTAAGTAAATATCTTACTAATATCTTCTTATTCAGAGTATGCATTGTAATTATAATATAAACTTGAAGATATGAGAATTATCAATTCTTTATTTCTTTCTCTTCTTTATCTTTCATAAATACATTTATCAGAAGAGAAGTTAACTTTAAGAAGATATTTTCTTAGTTTCTTTTCTTCTTCAGCTTCTTATAATCACTGATATAGTGATTATCAGCTCTGCAGTTGAAACAGAGATCTTTATTAAATCTTTTTTAATATTTCTTCATAGTGAGTGAAGAATCAGAATACTTGAAATTCTTCTTTACTTTCTCTACACTGAAGCTATCACAGCATTATTTAGATTCTATCATTGATTACTTAGAAGAGATCTTATTAATCTTTTTCTTAAAGAATTGATTATTCAAATAGATCTGAGAAGTCAGATTGATAAGCTCAGTACAATTAATTAATGAACTCTGATACTGTGATATTATTATTCATATCTTGTGAGTCAGCTTCATAAGATAAAGCTGTATTTTTAATTAATTCAAATTATCAGTCAATTTCTCTCAATATTCTTCAAATCTTGTATTGAAATTGAAAGAATTCTCATTATCTTATTAATATAATAAGTTGAATCACTGTTTTACTATGAAGTCACAGTTGCAGTGATCTTCAATTTGATTTAGTAGAAAGTTCTTGAATTCTTCTCAAGTCATGATAGTATTAATACACTCAAGCTTTCACTTCTTGATGATTCAAGTAGTCACAGAGATGTCTTCAAGAAGGTTGACAGCATATATTACTTATATCTTATGAGTATTATACTGACTCAGATTAAGGAAGAATTTCTGTTCAAGAGTACAGATAAAGCTGTGAAATTCAGATAAGATATTTTTCTTATATTTTAAAGAATCTCTGATCTTAATCTCTCTATCTTTATAATAGATGTAGATGTGTAGAGGCTGTGATAGTGATAGAATAATTGAAGAGCTCATGTCAAAATATACAGCAGGTTCAGAAATCTTGAATTTCTGCTGAGATAGAGATGTATACACTTTAGAGAATAATGTAGTATTTTTCTCAGAGAGTGAGATTAAGTTGATCTCAGTATAAGTGTGTGAAATCATATCAGTCTGTTAAAGCTTGACTGATTCGAACTTATAATCAGATTAAGTAATTTAAATTATAATATGACAGAACTGAAGCAGTGACTAGTCAGCAGTGATATATAGAAATAGTTGTTTAAGAAGCTATATAAATAAGCTTGACTATTTTGCTTAAATAGTGAGCTTGTAGACTACAGAATTTGTAAGAATAAGTGCTCGCAGGCGATTATTTGAGTGTTTGCAGCTTGGCGTGATATGTACTGTTAACTACTAGAAGTATTCATGATAGGAAGATAAAAGGTATAATAGTATTCAAGCTGAGTTGTGAATAGTATTCATAAACTTCAGTCTATATAGTTATGTGTAGCCAAGGGCCGCTAGCTCTATTGATTACATGAGAGATAGAAATAGAGGTAAAGAATTTATAAGAAGTGAGATTTCTTACATATCTCTCTCTCTCTAAGGCTTCATTTATGAAGTCTTTCACTGAGTGACTTTATAGAATCAGCTCAGCACTGCAGTAATACTCACTAAAAACTCTTTATATCTATAAAAAACCTCAGTGAGAAAAAATCTCTTATTATTATAAAGAGAAAAGAGTCTATCACTCAGTTTCTTATTCTGTGAGATTCTTTATAATCTACAGATTCTTCTCTGACTATCACACAGATTCATCTCACATCTTTCATATAGAAGAGTTTCAGTTAACTCTCAATCATTTTCACAAGATTCTTGTGTGATCATCACACAGATTCATCTCATAGATGAATCACTCTCTATGAGATCACTCTCATTAAAGAGAAGTATTTATAAGTTGATCTTTCACTTATTCTCACAATTCATTATTCTTTAACACTGTAGAATTGTGAAAAATTTTTCATTCTTTTATCAACTCTGTAGAATTGTAGAATCAAGATATTCATGATCTATAATCACTTTTTATAGTTATATAGAAAGATTCAGATCTATGATTTATAATCACTCTTATTTACTAACCGTGCCATGCTTACTCACTCTCTGTAGTGAGTGCGCCACAGTGTACGGAAAACCACACTGTAAAGAAAATATTTTGAATATAGTAATCTTCAAAAATTAATTAATAATCATCATCACATCTATCTATAACATAAAGATTATCTATATACTCATTAGAAGGTGTAGAATCCACTGTAAGTTGAGATTCTATAGAATTATCTTGTTGTGGTTGAGTGACTGTAGATTTTGTAGATTTGATTTCAATCAATCAAAGAGTCTTATTGAACATCTTTTTCATCTCATCTGCTCTACAGATTGCAATCTTGCAATTGGCATTCTTAATAGTGAGGACTCCATCTACTTGCACCTGTCTGCGGGAGGATTTGATGACCTGATGTCTATTTGCTTGATAATGATCTGCAAGTTCATCCTCATGATATGCATTCAATTCCGCCTGGACCATGCTACCCTTGAAGATCTTGTTCAACTGCCTTGTCAAATCAGGTGTAAGAGTATTCTTCACATCTTCTAAGGCCTTGACTGCTGCATTGATTTGGTGATGTAGTTTTGCAACCATCTCTGAGGAGGTTAATTGCGAGGAGGCAGTTGATGATTGATCTGCAGATGGCGGGGTAAAGTGATTACATACATCATCATCATCATCATCATATATGTTGAGATCCGGGGCATCATTTTAGATTCGGTTTTTACTTGACTTGTTTGTAATCTGGCAGGCATTTGATGAATCAATATATTCATATCTTGCTTACTGTGAGAGGTGCAGTCTCTGGATCTGTATGATGCTATCTCAACATGCGGTTCGCGGCAGCTTTGATATGCTTGATGATGGATGAGCAAAAATTAATGTTCAACTGATGAATTCATATCTTAATTACCTCTTCCTGGCTATCATTCAATGCTTGATTCAGTGGAACCCTCATAGTCCTTGATTTCTTCTCATTGATCCTCCCATACAAGGTGGCATATGAGACTTTGAATTCTCGTGACAGAGACATGATTTTTAATTTTGAATTGCTTTTGTACGCGTTAACAGCTCTTTACAACTGCTTCTCAGTGTAATTAGAAGATTTAGACATGGTTATAATTAATGATGATTATTTGAAGATGAAGAATGAAGATATTGAAAATATTTTCTTTACAGTGTGGTTTTCCGTACGCTGTGGCGCACTCACTACAGAGAGTGAGTAAGCATGGCACGGTTAGAGTGATCTGACTGTTCTGTAGAATCACTCACAGTGTAAGCAAACCTCTTTAGAGTAGTATAAATATCTCAGATCTATTTACAGAATCTTATCTTCTTTTTTCTTTTTCTATAACAGCTTTCATTCTTATACACTGTAAGTATTCTTATTCATCTGTGAAGTGTTTTCACTCAGATAACAGAGAGAGAGTGTTTCTGACAATGTCTGTATATTATTTCAAGAACTTCTCAAGAATAAAAAATTTTTCAGTTTTAATATTTTTATAAATAATATCTGACTGTTACTGAGCTTCTTATAAGTGTCTCTATAACTTCTCTGATTGCTTTTTACTGACTGATGAAGCAGAAACACTGCTGTTCATAACTATGTCTTCACTCTTCTCAGCTCTGTCACTGCATCTGATCTTCAGATCAGCAGTCAATTTCATATCTCTCTCAGATCAGTTTCTGACTTTAAGTAGTGCAGTTTCTTTCTTTACTGTAAGTCATTTTATAAATAATTTCTTACAGACTCTAGCTGATAGTTCTTACAAAGCTCTCAGTGTTATCAGTGTCTTCTGCAGCTCTGCAGGCCTATGATCATTTGTCTTCTACTCACACAATCTCTGATCAGATATATGTGAATATATCTAGATTCTCTATCAATGATTCTTGCACTGCAGTGTATTTCTGCAATCTCATTATCAATGAGAGATAAGTTCTCAGATACCTATAAAATCCAGGTAATCAAGACAATACAAATGCTATGAATTCATGATAGAAGTTAATCTGAATAGATGAGCTCTCTCTTCATATCTCAATTGTTTCTGAGCTGAATACTTCAGTATAACTGAGAAAGCAGACACAGCTTCATAAGAGATATCTGATTATATACACAGACAGTCAGCTCTCAAGACTCTGTTATAACTGTATATACTCTGATATTCAGCTTCTCTGAAGTCTGTGCATTTCTGATAATCTTTATATCAAATGCAACAATTGTCTGTACTGCAGATATAATACTCTCTACTTCTTTAAAGAGAAAAATTAATAGTTATGAGAAGATTGAGTGTTATAAGTGTTGAGAGTGTGAATATAAGTTTTCTTTATTTTTTCTTTATTAATCTTTAAATTGTGTTCACAGTTCTGTTTATTTTCTTGTTTTTTAACTTTAATAAGAATATAATTTCTTCTTCTCTTACATATACTGCAGACTGTTCATTCCAGTAGAAACTCATTATCTTATAGACTAGAATTCATAAATAACAGTGTTAATATCTTTATTACAATCAGCCCCGGTGGCCGAATGGTTAATGCGGCCACCTGGTAGCGCCTTGGCGTGGGAAACCAAGGCGTGTGGGTTCGAAACCCGCAGAGAATACATTAAATCCGGAACTCAAGCACCTCAGGTTTCTAATAAATACAGAGGTGTACAAATCACTTTAATAAAATCACTCTATGTTCCTGGGCTGAGAAGTTATTATCGCATGTATCTAATTGTCACTTCTTTGTATTTTCTATGTTCTTGTTATCTTGATGTGATCTTAACACCTGTATTTCCTCCTGTATAATCAACACTTAGCCTGTATTTAACATCATGCAAGGACTCATTATAAGCTCCGCTTGCATATGAGTATAATAAAAGAATAATAATAATAATAATAATAATTTATTACAATCAGATTCTTAGTAAAGACTGCATTATTCTGACTTATCAGAATTCACAGTATAAAAGTTATGTCTCAGCTTCTGCAGATATCTTATCTGTCTGAATGATTCTCAAGTGAACTTATTCATTTTATCAGAATACTCTTATCACTGAATCTTGAATCAGAGCTTGTAATCTCACTTCTCTGAGTTAATAATCTCTTTAATCTGATATTCTCTTTCACTCTCTAGTACTTTACAGACAGAGTGATGAGTCACAGAATTCTCTTCTAAGAATTTCTTATATTTATAAAGCAAAGAGACATGAAAAACATTGTACATCTGCAACTCAGATAATAGTTTCAATCTATAAAATTATGAGTTAACTTTCTTCATAATCTTATAAGACTCTGTCTATAAGAGATTCAGCTTCTTACTAGATCTTCATATAATAATGTTTTCTAGACTCAGTCAGACTCTATCATCTTTCTTAAAACTCTTTATAATGTACTTAAAGTTATAGTATCTCTTCTAATACTCTTGAGTCTTTCTTAAGAATTCACAGACTTTCTCTTAAATCTTCTGAATTCTCTCAGTCTGTTCACAGATATCATCACACTCTATAGTATACTCTCACAGATTCATCAAGATTATTCATGAATAAGTCTCAGTGAGTATTTCAAAGAGAGTTTTATCTGTGCTGATATGCTTTGAGTTGTTGTATACAAACTCTGTGAGTGATAATCAATGTATTCAGTCATTCTGATTGTAATTAACAAAGTATCACAGATACTGTTTTAATATACTTATCAGACATTCTGTCTGATCATCTGTCTATTGATAAAAAGTCATGCTTAGATCTCATAAGATCTTTAGTATAGTTATCAGATCAGATTAGAACTCTTCTATGAAGATTAATTCTTTATCTGAGATAATGTTTACAGATAATTCATGCAATCAGATCACATTGTGAACAAAGATATAAGTTAAATTCTTTGACTTCAAGTTCTTGTGAGTGAGTATAAAGTGTGTTATCTTGATGAAGTGATTCACTATCATCAGCACACTGTTAAAGCAGGTATTATATATGTTCTTACTTTCAGAAAGACTTATAAGAGTATTCATTTCTAGCTGTTCTCAAGATTTCTGCAGAATGAGTAGAGAAGTAAGTTTTTCATATAATCTGAACTGCACTACTCATGAATTCTGATAAATAGTATAAGAATTCACTATCTTCTTCACAAGTTCTTGTATCTTCAGTTAGAAGTATTTTCTTATAAGCAACTTATGAGTTCTAGTATCTGTAAAATGACTCACTAGAGAAGAGTTATAATGTCTTTTAATAAGTTCTACATGTAGAAACTTATTTATAAGTATATAAATTCAGTTCTCTCTTTATAAGAGATTATTTAAGTCTCTTCAATTCTTTATTTCTGTAGAATTGATCTCTGCTGTGAGCAGTTTCTGAATATATTAAATATATTCATTCTTCAGTTACAGTTCAGACAATCTGAATAGAAGATCTTATAAAGACTTATACTCTGTTTTTTCTTATATCAGATCTTCTACAGTGCTTCTCAAAGTCTGTAAACTCTTCAGATTATAGATACTCTCTTCAAGAATTCTTGTAGAGATTCTCAGAGTGTTGACTCTCAGTGTTATAGAGAGTAGTTATACAGGCTTCTTTTCTCTCTCTTCTCTCTTCTCTTATAGAGAATTGAGAGACTCTTCAGTCAATCTCTTTATAACACTCAGTTCAAGTATTCTGTGAAGCTTTTCTGTCTTCTCTAATCTCTCTGTATCTGTCACTCTGATCTTCTTAACATAGTCTGATCTGTAAGAGAGTTTATTCACTGAGTTCTTAGTTCTCTTAATATATTTTATCTTGAATCAGAATTTTCTCAGTCTCTGAGCTCAGCAAACCTGCTGCTGTGAGAGTTTCTTAATTAAAGTAAACTGTTATAAGCTGTTATAATCAGTTCTGATAGTAATCACTGTTATAAAACTCTCAAAGTAGTGATATCAGTGATGAAAGAATTTCACTATTATAAGAAGCTTCTGATTATAAATGTCATAGTTGATCTCTGTGAGTTACATCTTCTATGAGAAACAGATCACTGAAACTCAGTTCTCATTTGACTATAGTTATAAGACTATTTCTGAAATTATAAAGAAGAAGACATCTGTCTTCAATCTGATTAAAAGTAAGAGATTAAAGTGAAACAGTATCACTGTATCTGTAAATATCTGTTTCAATCTTATAAAGACTCTGTAAGCTTCTGAAATAAGAAAATTCTTACAGTTCTCTCTTCTCAATAATCTTTTCATTCTTTATTTGTGAAATGACTTCTTCTTATTTTCATTCTTCAGCATGTCTGTAAGAGTTAAGAAGATTCTTATAAATACAAAGATAAATTATCTATAGAAATTCACAAAGTTCAGAAAGATCTGAATCTTATGAATACTAGTTGACTCTGATTATAATAGAATAGTCTTAATCTATGAAGATTTCATCTGAATATCATCTACAGTGATTATATATTTTAAAAAATTAATCTAACAGATACTGAAGTTATACTTCATAAGCTTAACATACAGTTCTGTCTTATCTAAGATCTTTAATACACTTCACACATGCTCAGTGTGTTCTTTCTTCTTCACAGAGTACATTATCACATTATTCAGATATATTATTATAAAGACATTCAGATATATATGAAGTATTTTAT